TTTGAAAGGTTCCGAGTTTTTTTTCTTCGTTTTTTGAAACTTTCAACACATTTGCAAACTTTTTGTCATCTACCGAACCTTTTTTTGAGGTTCGAGAAAGTACCGTTTTTTTTTACAGTGTAAGACCACATAGAGATGATGATAATTGTCGAAGTTTCCAAAATATACTTTTTAATGTCTTTTAAACAAAAACATCGAAATTACTTTAAAAAAGAGCTGGTTTTTTCAAATAATTAACTGACGAAATAATGAATATGATTGTTAAGTTTCTAAACAAATTTTTCACATAATAATCTTAAAGTTATTTGATTTCATTCTAAATTTTGTAAATTTGATATCTGATCGGAATCAACTTTTAAATTAATATCATTGAAATTTTTTGATGAAACAACATCTGTTACAAAACATGTTAATGTTTCACCAATTAATTTCATATTAGCTTCCATAGATTTAGTTTCGATAGAATTTCCGCGAAATGTGAATGTATTCGAAGATGTTGATAAAATTTCTGCTTGAACAATATCAACAAGAAATGATGTAGAAAATAAAAGAGATTGAGCAATACGGGTTAATGATGTGGCTAAAATAAACAATTAAGATATGAAGAAAGTTGTGATCAAGCAACAGATTTTTTCAGGTGATTCGAAAAGTTGTGTGTAATGTCCTTGTTTGAAAAGAATTTGATTCTCTTCATTCATATCTAAGCAGCCTGACTCACTCAAACAGCTGTGGTACGAGAACAATCGAGTTTTCTATTTTCGGAAATGGAATAACTATTTGATACGTCAGTGTTGATTTTTCATCATTGTTGATTCTGTATGAACATACTAATTTCATCTTTATTGCGTAGACTAATATGTGATTTAAATATTCTAGTCAGTCGAAAATAATCTCGTCAAATATACGGAAAGAATAAAATTTGATCTTATTTATTATTTAAATAATCAAACCTCTTGTAAATGTAAATATGATTCAATTGGCAAAATTTCAATTACTACATATTTTGCTTTAATTCTAATATTAAATGAATAATCTGGTAATCTTTGTGATTTATCTTTTTCTGTAACAGTTAAAATAGATGGTATTTGTAATAGATATCATTGTTCAATAAATTGATTTCTAGTTATTATTGGTAATGGAATATCAGCATAACCAATAAAATCAATATCATGTCCATTTATTTGTTTTTATTCAAGTCGTTCAATTTCTCGATAAACTTTTTACAACGAAGTATTGAACAACCTTTAATTTTGTTTCAAAAAAGAATTAAACAAAAACAAAAGAATTTTCTCAAGCCTTCTAGTATATCTTTAAATGTAAAATTTTCTCCCCGAAAAAAGTATTTCACATCGTTCTTTACTTGTTGTTTTACCATAAATATCATCATCAAGAAATTTTTTAACATAATATCTATATAAAATAAATAAATTCTCATATTTTTTAAAACATTTGTTTTTACTTTTTCTTTACAGGTAAACCTTTAGTTTCTAAAATCTAAATATCTAATGAATTGTCTAAAATAGGTAAAGGCAATACTTTAGTGCAACGAATATTAATTTTTGTTTTCTGTAGTATATAGCCATAATAGCAATAATAATTTTTTTAATCATGATGATAAGAATTCAGAAGAATTTTTTAAAGAAAATCTTACATTAATTTCGGAAGAAACAATCAATTCTTTAGCTTCATGGTGTATAGATAAAGATATTAATGGCGCAAAAAGATTTTATTTTATTTTAAAAATTTATCGAAAAAAAAAATAATTTTAGCATTATCCTGTGGTGGAAACTATCAGTCGTCAAATGGTTATTACGGAATTTATTATTGGTTTAATCAAAATTACCAACAATAATCCAAATGAATGTGTTCAAACATTTTTCGAAAAGTTAAACAAATAATTTTTCAATTAAAAATTTTTAAAAAAAATGCTGATGGATATTTGTATGGACAACTATTAAGAATAAAAGAAAAGTTTATTGTTGTTATTTTTTGTTTCTTTTTAGAAATAGATTTACATGAATCAGTTATTAAATGAAATGTTGATATTTATGTAATGTTAATTGGTTCAAAACAAAGGAATATTATTTCAGAAAATAATTCTATTGGAGAATTTTATTAAACGTATTGATTTCTTTTTAAAAAGAAAATAATTCATGAAAGTTCTCCATCAATAAAGATAGAATCTTGTTTCGTTCTTTCTTGTTACATATTGTTTCTAATCTCAATCCAAAACAAAAAGAAACCTTAACTCAGCATCAACTATTTCGACTGAATGAGTTGAAATTAATAATTCTTAAGATTGAATATGATTCGGTTTTGTTAAATAATAATAATAACAATCTAAATGCTGATAAAGAACTACATGCAGTAAAACACTTGAACGAAGTAAGCTGAAAATCGATAGATGTGGGTATTTTTTACAAGATTTGTTTTGCAGATCTTTTTCGTATTGTAAATGATTTTTATGTTAACATACACTGAATATATTCACATCATAGAACGAGTTTTTTTTAATAAAAGAAACTAAGGGCCAATTATTTCAGCTCATCATCTAAATAAATCCTCCTGATGATTGACAAGTAACCATTTCGTATTTCGGGTGTGGCTAGAAAAAGATGCTTTTGAAATATTGAAGGTAATCATAATTTCAACAATCCTCTTGTAGCGAGAACTCATATTGTGGCATATTTCATACTATTATTCAAATGAATGGGTCATGTGCATCATTAAAGTAGTTTTAAAACATCACATCCCAGGTGGAAGAATCTGACCGTCAGATCTTATACGATTCCTACATGATCATGCAAGAACTTATTGTAAGATCTTGTATAAACATATAAGATCATACGAAAATCGTATACGATCTTGTAAGATTCTGTAAGATAATCTTAAAGCCACCATTTCTGATAAAATCCTACAGTACGATTCTTGTATGATCTTTATGTCAGATAGTATAGGATCTTAAATGAATCGTATACGATTTTTTGTAGCTCCGTGGAGCGTTTCATGCCTGATTTGACCCGGTTTTAGCCTCTATATACTTGATCTTTTAAAGAAAGTATTTGACGTGAGTAATGCATATATTTATTTATTTATTTATTTATTGATAAAAACCACAAAAAAACAACAAATAGTTATACACGCTTGTAACACAAATAAAAAAGAAAATTAGAGGAAAATAATTTTCTTTGAATTTCATAAACTGATCGATCTAAACAAAAAGAAATAAGTGTTTT